ATGTGCCTATTAGATAAATTATCGTAAAAATCATTTTTAGTCGGTAAATTTTGATTGTCGAGTTTATCTATGGAGGTTACGAAGCTATATGGGAAAACACCTTTCTGTGTCATATATTCGAATTTTTCGCGATCTGGAAAATATCTAGCCGTTTCGACAAACTGATCTGTATTCAAATTCCCGGCTAATGATTGAAGAGGTTGTGCGAGAAATTTGTAACTATCTAAGAATCGGAGTTTCAGAAAGATATTATGATTTTGACCATTTTTCCCCAAATATTCACCAACTAAAATGTGCTTAGTAAATGAAATATATTTTTCCTTAGTTTGTGCGACACAATCGACTTTCTCTTCGCGATCAAATAATTGCTTTATGAATAGATGGCTATCATAGCCGCTCATATTGTGAAAGAAAATTGGTATGAAATTCGGGATTTTGTAATTCAAATTGCATGCTGAATGTGCTGCCCCAAATCTTTTTTTACCCGTCAAATGACAGTGATCTCTCACTTTTACATCACCTAACCGGAATGGTTTTTCGCAAATGCCACACTCGGTAGCATTAGCAAAATCGGCTTCTTCTACTTTCGTTAATTTTCTCATTGGAACTACGTTCTTCAGATATAAGTCATATATTTTTTTCGAATCATTTACTATACTAGATACAAATTTCTTCGCCGCATCTTTTCCGCGGAATGTAACAAATTTCGTGATGGAATTGTCGTAGGAGCATTTGATGAGGTATGCGAATGAGTATGGTTCATGCACAAATGTTCTATTAGTATAGGATTTCTTCGGGTCCGGCTCACTAGTGTGTATCGGCTTCAAAACTGATTCGAAATCCGCATATATAACAAAAGGTACCATCATTTGTTTCTCAAAATTCTCAAATTTCAAAATATTTTCAGGTACTGAATTTCCAAATTTATCTACTTTGACTGCTGTAGTTGGTGTTGTCGTAAATGTGTGATTACAGTCGCTCAATTGATGGCGTAATAGCTTAGCCTCATCCGAAAAATGTATCAAACACCCATCGCAGAAAAATTTCTTATGCCCGTTCGAGGACATTTGGGCGGACACCAATCTAGATAAATGTTTTATCCAACAATAGTGGCTCTCACCCGAATCATTCGTTATAAGGAGCAAGTTCACATGTTTACTCATTCTTTTCTTCGAATAATAGAGTGGGCCGACAACGTGGTATTTAACTTGTTGATTTTCTATTACGCTTTCTAACCCATAAACGTTGATGGAGCAATCATTGAGTATTTCAAATTTTGGAATTTTACTTACTTTCATAGGAAACTCTATACCACTCAGATTCAAAACTGTAGAGAAGTGTGGGTATGAAGATATCTCACAAAGTTTGGCCCTTGCTGGATATAGGGCGGACGTCACGGCCCAAGCAAAACAGCATTCATCCTGATTCACCACATTCACTACCGCCCTCTTATTGTCTATGAAACTAGGTAGTTTGATGTAGGAACACCCACGCAGCGGACTGTATTTATTGATGTTTATTTCGAGAAATAGTATTTTCTCTAGAGCCCAACCTGTAACAATGGAAAAGTGATTGTTTTATTTATTCAAAGAATTGAGTTATATAGATGTGATAATGCAGATATTCAAATCATTCTCAACTCACCGGAATCGCGTTCCTCAAATTCAGTTGTTTGGTTCACGATGATGTCTTTGAATGTATCGATGATGGCATCCAAATCAAGGGATGAATCTACGATGTGATTCGGTGTCGCAAAGGATTTGATGTCGTGAAGATCCTGAGATTGTAGAATATATCTACCGAATACTTCCATATTAACCTTGATGGTGTGGTGAATCGACAGCATATTCCCCAATAGGGATGATAAAGTCACCTTATTTTCGGTAAAGAACGTGTTATAATCCAAGACATCCGTTCTACATTCCAATCTATAACTGATAATGCGACACTTGAATGCGTTTTCGATAACATATACACCATCTCTATAATTAACGCAAGCGTTCGAACGATGTTCCAAAGTCCTTTTGTGGGCAGCCATTTTATCGATTGGAACGGTTTTATTGCAAACGGTACACGCTTGCATGTTGCCAGACGTTGATGCTTGATGAATAGTATCACCCAACCGCGGCCTCTTCGACATTGGTGGATCGAGATTTCCCACACACGACTTTTTTTGGTGGCGGCGTAAATTGTCACTGCGAGTGAAAGATTGGCCACAAACGCAGGTCAACATGTTTATCACTCGCGAAAAGAAACGATAGAGTTGAACGATCGACGATGTCAGGAAGACTACAGTCTGGGCATGCAGAAATCGGATTTATAGAAGAGGGGAGTCGTGGCGTAGCCTCACCCCACTACACCATCAAACAGCCTTGGGAAGAAGAACACATGCGCACGAGAGTGGATACACTCAACCCAAGGCCACCACGACAATTGTCCGAGATGAAACCTCCGTATCCCTCCCAAGGTCACTCCCAAGGTCACTCCCAAGGTCACTCCCAAGGTCACTCCCAAGGTCACTCCCAAGGTCACTCCCAAGGTCGCTCCGAATGTCACTCCTCCAAGGCCACCCCCCAAGGTAACTCCCCCCAAGGTCACTCCCCCCAAGGTCACACTCCTCTGGCCTTGGGGGGAGATTTGGAAATGGCTAAAGCCCTCTACTTATAGCTATGAAGAATCAAGAAATCCCGAAAAAGTAAGGCTGGCGACAAATATTGAGACACTAGATACCGGGTATAACCGGATCATGGGGCGAAAAAAACGGTCCATCAAATGCAGTCGTACACTTTTTTTTTCAGTGATGAAGTAGTTGAAAAAGTGGAATTGAAATCAACTTTCATACTCATTGAACGTCACTTTATCCCACTTCGAGTATCATCGGAAGTGGAACATACAATCTTGTATATTATTATGATGTCAACAATTATGTTCTGGTCTGGAAGAGTCATGTATTTTATTATCTTCTCCAAAAGAATAACATATCAAGAACTCAATACCCCACAGCTTAGAGCGCTACACACAAACTGGAAATCTTCACGAATATGATATATATAGCAGTTGGTTAGAACTTGGAATTTAAATTGTAATATAGCGAGAACGCATTGTATGCACAAATTCATAATGAAACCAAAGACAGTGGGCACCAGAATAATATATCGGAGATGCCCGAATGGCGAAAAGATGTATAACCACTGGTGGTGGTGGTGGCTTTCATGGAAGAATGGGTGTTGAAAGTACAAAAAAGTGACTGACAGAAACAACATTTCAACAAAGCTGATATTTTCATATGTTTCATTGGACCCTGTCATGAAATGGAATATACAATTGCCAGACACTTTCCAGGGGGTGTTACCCTTGCCAGACAACTTGAATATTCTTAAAAATATCGTTACATTTGGGTTATAGCAACAAAGCTGAAATTCATATATGTTATCTAGACGGTTATTTTATATTATCATTCAAACAGCCGATGGGACAAACATGCCGCTGAACGCAACATGCAAGTCCGCAAGTGCGACTTATAGTTCCACCATGTTTACATTCAATTTATTATCAATAGTACTACATTGAATATACATATAATATGTCCCAAAATTACTTGAAGCGATCCTGAGTGATGCAGATTTTCGAAATGAAAATAGTGAAAAAATGTGTACAGACATAATAACATGGGTCAAGAAATGGCCCTTTGTGGGTTATAGCCATATCTGAAGGCGAGTCCTATATATGTACCCAATACTTCTTATGCATAGTTTGAAAATGTTGAGGTTATCCCGATATTTCGATCAGTGGCGTGGGTAATAGGAGTTTGACCAGGGAATATGGATATATGGAAATCTTCACATTCTTACTCTTGTTTCGAAATCTAATCCCATTTTCATATTTTGCTGCGTAACTGCTTAATTATGATTGCATAAAAAAATGTAATGGTCCATTCTTCTTGATAAAGTTCCTACCATTATTGTTCTCCAATTTATTCCCTTCAGTTCATCTCCTATTGTACAAATCGAAACATCACAGGTAGATGTTGAAACATGGAGTACAATCAAAACCAAAATTTTTTGAAGTTCTACTGCATATCAAGAAGATTGATATTAATACAAAATTGAAACAAATTACCATAAGCTACAATGAATTGTCGAAGTGATTTACATTTTCTCGAAGATCTCCGAATTTTCCGAGAAATTATTGTTTGTTGGAGAACACCTCTTCATTCAACATCTATCTTCGATGTTTTGATTCGTATAATATCAGGGATGCAATGAAGAGAATGAATTGAAAGAGTAATTATTGTTTGTTTGACGAATGTTCGAGATTTTTTAAATTGCTATTGAAGTGTAGTTATTTCACTATGTATAAAAGAAGATAACGTCACAGATCTACAGATACACTCGAAAATCAAATCCGATAACATTCCAAGTACTTATTGCTATATGGTAAGGGAAAATTATGTTCATTTTTATAGCGGAACAATATTTCAATATTCTATTTATTTCATTCTCCATGCCATGCAATTGACCATCTTATGTACAAAAAGTTGCGAGATATAATAATTGAGGAGAAACAGGAGGTCCATTTTCGATTTTCAATTTCTTTTTTCTCGTAGATTTCTCTCAATTTCAGAATAGTAAAACGTTCCTATATGAGCAATAAATCGAAAACAAATTGAATCTATCAACTACTTTAATCAAATGCGATCTCCATTTGCTATGAAATCATGAGAATATCCAACATCTGAGATATACTTTGATTTGCAGTCTTTTATACGCATATTGATGGTATGTTTGCTTAATTCTGAGGAAGAATGAAGATAATTCTGAATATGAGTAGTTGTTTTCTGTTGGATAATATACATCAACAATATTGTTTCGAATATTTTTCATATATGTGGTGGTTGATATGATATTTTTCCAACTGAACCTGTTTGAATGAAACCAGGTGCAAAATTCATAATTATTTACTGTACTATTTAGTTGTATCGACTACTCCTATATGGTATATAACCATGGCACGTTTATTTTGAAGTATTGTTTATTTTCAAATTTCAGAAGTTATAGATTGTGTGCATACCTAGTATCAAAAATGAAAGTAATAATAATTGTGGCAGCTGTTTTGGCTTTTACTGACGCCCAAATTCCATCCGAAACTTGCCCAGAAGTTTCTGTGGTACAGAACTTCAGTATATCAGAGGTTTGTATTTTGAAAGTTGCGTATATTGGGGTTTTGATCATTGGTGTCGGTATTTTTGAATTCACATGAGAACTCGTTACAGTGACATTTCAAGAAATTTGTTTTGCGGAAGCTGTAGTTTACAACTGAAAAATACGTTTCATTCAATGCATTCACATTGAAAGTTGGATTTTTCTTGTATTTCAAGTTTCATACGATTTTACATTGAAAAACGAAAAAGTTTTTGATATAAATACGAAATGCTCAAAGTCATTTCCACACAATGTTCATAAAACGAACAACAATGGTAGATATCGGGAGAAAAACAACTACTTGCCTGGCTAATGCCACGCAGAACATTGAATTACATCCCCTCGAAATCTATACACTGACTCGTATAAACGATTACTGCAACAAGTAATTCTTTCCTGAATTCCTATTTATTTCGATTTAGCCATCAGGCCACGCTAGACACCTACAGACCGGTTTCGAGCTATTTGACTCTCATCACTGCAGGGCAGTCTTCGGCCAACAGTCTGAAGACCACCGACTAAGCGTAGCCTAGCCGAACAAAAAAATCAAGTTGGCATTATATTCCCTCAGAGGCGCCCTCCATAGACAATATGAGAGCAGCGCCATCTGAGTAGAAAAGTAGGAAAGAAACACTCCAAAACTGAAATTCCCTCACGGGAGTGGCTGGTTGCCCGACTGGCGTAATTTCAACTACGAAATAGCCACAATGCTCAAAGTGGAATTAAATGTTGAATAAATACAAAAAGCTGAAAGCCATTTTCACACAATGTTCATAAAACGAACAACAATGTTAGATATTGGGAGGAAAACAACTAATTTCCTGGCTAATGCCACTCAGAATATTGAAATACATCGACTTGTATAAACAAAAACTGAAACAAGTGTTATTGAAAAATATAATTTTGGTCCACTTCAGAATGTGTCGAAATCAATCATTGACAAAGATTATCACTAGCGATATAAGATAGCCCAGGTGTTACCTCTAATCTCGAATTCCATAGTATTCAGAATCTGTCATCATTATTTCGGAATAGATATTTTTCTACTTTTGCTTTTGTTTTATACTGTGTTTGATAAATCAATTAGGTATTTTGTATGTCATCAATTTTATTTCCGTATACATCTGATATCAAAATGACTAACTTGTTAAATTATTTAAAATAAAAGATCTCATCGCCACGGAATGTCTAATTTAAAGCAATGATAGCTCTGCTCAATCAGAGATTATACCTCAATAGATGAGCATTACTTGAGAGGAAATCAGATAGTTTCAAGACGAAGAAATAAAAAATGTCGCTGTTCTGTAAATTCCGTAGAAAAATTGAAGTGTATAACTTTCACGGAATGCTAATTTCCCCCTCGAATTATTGCAGCATGAACCGTAGGCATCTTGCCAAAAATATCAACTTCAGCTGACGAACACAAGATTTGTTAGTTCGTCTGATGAAGAAAGATATATATGCTAGTTCATATCAAAATTATCAAATTTTTCCGTTCACCATCTAATCCTGAAAAAAAATTTGAATTCATTGAAGGCTGAATAGATATTTTAACGTGCGAGCGAAGCGAGCGCGTTAATGTTCGAGATTATTAATCGCCCTTTAATATACGAGTTGGTTACAAAATTTTTCCGTCGACTTTATTTCTCATTTCTCCTGCAATGAAGAAAACTTGGTTCGCGAATTCATCATTCATCCGGAAACTACTAAAAATCACCCTTGTTACTGACATTAGTGACATTGGACATTTGTCGTTATGATCTACATAGAAAATGAATTCCTTGTGTTAGAAAAATCGTTTCAGAAACTTGGAAAGGTGAACCCGTTAACGGAAAATCTTCGATGAAATCCATATTTTCGATTTAAATGCAGATTCCGTAAGTTATAGCATAAACAATGAATGCACGTGGTGTATGTTTGGTTGCCTATAAAACAATCGTGCATTAAAGATCTTATCTCGTCGCTCGCATCTATCACCACTCTCATCAATACTAATTATGATAATTGCCGTAATCATCTGATTTTCACGAAGTTATTGAAACTATTATTTATTATTGTACATCATCAAAATATTAAACACTCCTTTGGCAATTACTTTTATGAGCAGTCCGCAATCATCCTCACAATGTCTCTAAATAAGCTTAACCTAATTAATGGGATATTCACCAATTCGATTATTACCTCATTATCAATTATATCTCCACCAATGCCTGAAAATATTCATGCAGAGGAACAGTTGTTATTGCAAAATACATCAAACCTAATAAAACCTCTGCTGAATGTCAATGAATCGTTTAGCGAAACCAGCGATTAAACCAGAATATGAGTTTGAACTATGAAGTGAATAACAAAAATAATCCACGAACTGGCTCACATTTTTGCTGATTGATACTATTTCTTCTGGTTCTGGGATCATCATTGAGATCTTTCGAATCCAGTGCTTGAGTCACAAGTCCTTATATAAAATCGCTTACCGATAGATATATAGATAGATCTTTATTGCTTATAGAAACATACATGCTTTATAACAAGTGATGAGGTAAGTAGTTTTTGAGAGGTATCATATTAGTATAAAGGTCAGATAATTTATACGACGTTATAAAAGCAGATGATATTTTATCATTGCTCATGTAAGATGGAAGTTGAGGCCATGGCACCATATCATGAACATATTTTTATATTGAAACTATCATTGGGCACCAATGATGTGCATACGACGCTATGAAAGTTCAGAGAACTGGAGATTTTTCGTACAAACTACGTTCTTAGCCCGTACCTAGTTTATTGGCAAAAATAAAGACAGTAGAGTGAGCTAGGTACGTAGTTTATGGGGGAAAAAATCGAGACAGTCGAGTGTGCTTCCCTACTTTCTTTCGTTTTTTGTTTCGTTTTCTTTTGGCAAGTGATTATCTAGGAACTTGTAAATTTTTTTGTTTTTTCATCGTATCTCCCGAACTATTGAATTCAGAGAAAAATGTTATAGGGATTTTTTGTAGATTCTATCAAAAGAAATAATTTTGGTTCTATAACATTTTCAGATATTTTCAGTTGTTTTCGAGATATTTGGAATTATTTGAGAATAAAATTTTCAACACTTTTGTTCCATCTTCCAATCAACAAAATGAAGAAATATTTCATGGTTCAGTGGAAGTCGATGAGCTTCATCTATCAATAATCTATGTTTTTCAATATATCTTCATAGTACCCTATGGGTCGTTAAATTTTTTTTTTCATATTTTTCACTTCATTTTCTGTAATATTGGGTTTACAGAAAAAATTATGGAGAATAATTTGTAGGGAATGTATCAGTAGATAACTTTGCACTCTTGATAATTTTCGACTTTTCCATTTGTTTTCGATATATATTGAATTGGAAGGATTTCAAATTTTGATGTTTGGATTTTCATTTGTTTTTCCATTTTCCGATGGATGCACGAAAAAATGGTCGAATAATAATTTGTTGCGTCATCAAAGAGGCATAGGGTGCATTTTTAAAATTTGGATTCAGTCTATTTGTTCAGGAGATATATCGTTTTAAAGCGAACCGTGTGTTTCGGAAAATCTCCTTGAAAAACCCACTTGGAATTTTCCGACCCTGCTCAATTTCAATAGGCTTCGTCTCTTCCTGATAGAGTTTTTTCTTCACAAAAAATGAAATCGATCGGACCACTTTTGCGATTTGTAGAGTGGTTACAAGAAACTTCCGATGAAAAATCGAAAAAACCCGGAAAAACCACCTTAGAGTTTTCCGATTTCCTTCATATTTTAATGACATAATATTGTTTTGAGTACAATAAGATGGCAAAATTTCAAGTCGCTATGTCAAAGGGTTCCGGAGATATATCGATTTATGATTAACACAGAGTACAGACAGACAGACAGACAGACCACACACAAAAACCAAAGTTGCTCAAAATTCGATGGGGATCATTTTCTCCAAAGTAACTATACCTCTATCTCGCTTAGTTTCCGAGATAGCATTTTTGGCAAGGCCGTAGTATACTCCACTATGTATAGCGTCGTATAACAAGTGAGTTAGGTTCTTTGTACAATGATTATATGGCTTAGGGATAGAACGGAAAAAAGTAAGAGAAAACATAATAGATAATGAACTTTTTTCCACCACTAGCTATAAATCGTACCATTATTTACTCCTTTTCGAGGCGTAAAGTGTGTTTTCACTACCAAGGTAGTATTCGTCATTTTATGAACCACTATAGTCAATGAAGACCTAGCCACTTCTGTTGTAATAAACCCGAATGTATACAGTTCTGATCAGACATTCGTAGGAAAGGCACTCAAATCTAGTATTTATTATCAATAACGACTTGCTGTCATGGTCATGTCCATTGGTCAAGTATTGGAAATAAGTGCTTTCATAGTGACAATATTTCAGATTCACAGAACTAAAATGATTGAACTATATTGCTAGTGGTGAAAAAAATTATGAATAAACCTCGGTAGTAGAGAATATCATCATTACCCAGGGACCAAGATTATATCCCGAGGCTTCAGCCTATACCTGGCCAACACAGTGGATCTGAAAGCTAGCCTATGGAGTCTCATAGAGAAGGCGGGGCTAGCCGAAGAACTCTGATCGATTTTGAGGGCAGACACAATAGATCTGAAAAGGTCGCGGTGTGGAGGCAGATAGCCCGAAGGCCCCATTCTAAATCTAATCTAATCTAATACCTGGCCATCTAAAAACATCTTTCTGAGTTGTTGTTCGATGACATGGCACTGGCGCGGTATTGGCTATTAGGACTGACACCTGGTCCATACACAAATGAGCCATTATGTTGCATTTATATTGAAACTTCAATTCGAACATCCTTGAAAATTGAATGAACCTGATATGTTAATGCAGGTAGAACATTCTTCCACACGGATTATTTGTTGCATTGCAAATATAATTATGGCACGGCATTGGTGGTTACTTCACTTATTTATTGTTGTTAATTCTTTCGGTTGCAGAAAAAATATCATGTTTCATTCGGATCAAAAGTACCTTTGTTTGACTCGCAAATTTTGCTTCCGCTAGGCTTCCGTCTCGCAAATGCAAAATTCGTTTGTCAAACAAAGTGTCACTTTTGATCCTAATAAAACAATCTACTATCAAATTCATGAAGTCTAAAAGTTTGCTACCTCTGCTATATGAACTTGAGCCATTTTCAACATTTATACTAAACTTAACTTTTGAATTTCAGTATGCTGGGGTATGGTACGAGCAACAAAAATACCCATTCATTATCGAGGTTTTAGGCCGATGCAATACAGCTGAATACTCGCTGAAACCTGACGGTACTATAATGGTAACCAACCGGCAAGTCGGCATTCTGTAAGTATTCGATAATGTTTGAAGTATTTCAAAGTCTGAATTTTTTCTTCTCCAGTACAGGCCATCCAATTTCAGTCGATGGTACAGTGCATCTGAATTCTACTAGTGGTGAAGGAAAAATGATTGTCAATCTGTTTTCAGGTAAAGTAAAGTACAAACTGGACGGTAATTTTCTCCTCAAATCATGCAGAACAAATCGCATCATCAGTGAAGTTTTTACATATTTATATGTAGTGGCAATGATGTCCATATCATATGATTTCCTAGTACTAGATTCACAGTAATTCAGTGAAAGAAATTAGCAAATTGCGATATCCTAAAGGACGTTCCTTTGGTATTCGGTTTCGAATTTTGTAGGTGTATATATATGTCTCAATTATTGCTGTTGAACAAATATTCCGTGGACTGCCTCTCTCATTGATTCATCATTGGCTTCTATAATTATCATTTTTTTGTTTTTAATTCCATAAGAATCAATTTAACAAAATCATTAAAGAAAAATTGATGGTTTTCTGGATACTATGTACGCGTATGCGTACTGTAATTGATTGATTTTCTATATCAGAATGAACGATATGGAATTATATCAATTCAATTGACTGAAATAGACATACGTGTGGCATGCAATAGTGAATTCGGGTTGATTATAAACATAAGAGGTGACTATTGACTAGTGGGTCATAAAATGACGAAAACTACCTTGGTAGTAAACACACTTCAAACGAGTACAGTGTGTTTTTTACCACCAACACCAAGATAGTTTTCATTTAACATAATACTATAGTATATAAAGATATATTACCACCATTTATTTATTTTATTTATTTATTGTGGAAAGCAAACAGGACTTGCCCAAAAGAATGCATCATCTGAGTGGTTATATAGTTACAATGAGGTATAAATCATATTAAGATGATATGAGAATAAGAAGAACAATTTAAAATCAATTATTGGGGGGTACAACTTGACAGATGTTCAGTGGTGCTCTGATTGTGAATAGTGTGTTCTCGATATGTTTTGAAATATGTAGAAGCTATTTGCAGAAATGTCGATGCTAGTGGAATTTGATAAAATATTGTAGGTCTTCATTTTCATGTGTGGAGGAGAATTTGGAATATATTTTGTATTTGCTTGCCCGGTAGAAAATAAAAGAGTTTGGCGAGTGTTGTAGCTAGGTACAGCATATCGAATCTGACTCACAATTTCGTTTGAGTCTATTTTGTGATTCACAACTTTGTAAAGAAACTTCACGTCTGTGATTTTCCTCCGATGTTTAAGTGAAATGAGGTTTAGTTTTTTCCGAACTGGTGCACCTTTCGCTGACGTGCGGGTTCCAAATCACTGAGCCGTATGTCAAAACGCTATTTACATATTATTATGACATATACAGGGTGTTTCATAATTGAATGCTGATCCTAAAGGGCGATAAACCTTGAATGATTCTAAGAAAAATTCTTCATGTGAACGTAGGTTCGTAACAGCTTCGTTTCTGAGATACAGGATGTTGGAATTTAACAAAAAAATCAGTTATTCCCCAATATCTCTGAAACCGCTCTGGCTTTTTTCTTCATTACAAATACTTAAAAATAGTTACCATGAAATTATAAAAATATTGCTCAGATCTTTTGGTTACCACAATTGTGAAATTATGACTAAGAGTAAAAATCGAATAGGGACAAGCAAATGAATGCATTTTATTTTCTAACTCAAAAACCGTTCGCCGGACGAAAAAAAGACAAGAGACAATTTTTATGAGAAGATAGAGGATAATTACAAAAATAATATTTATTTGGAAAAAAGACAGTGTCGTATCATTATTTTGATGAAAAATATGACAGGGTATGTTAACAGGGACGCCACTGATGGAAATTAGGAAATTCTTCATTATGGAAGACATGTATTTCTATCCATACTTGGCATATACCAAAATTGAAGGAAAAAGCCAGAGCGGTTTCAGAGATATTGGGAAATAACTGATTTTTTTGTTGAATTTCAACATCCTGTATCTCAGAAACGAAGCTGTTACGGACCTATGTTCACATGAAGAATTTTTCTTAAAATAATCCAAGGATTATCGCCCTTTAGGATCAGCATTCAATAATGAAACACCCTGTATAATGTTTTTTGTTATAAATAATCAACCCGAATTCACTGTTCTGGTGCAAGCAGGGATCTTGTAGATATTCATCATAACAACTTGTCATATAATATGCTGTCATGGTCATCATGACTACCAGATTCTATTTAAATTAATTTGAAAAAATGGTTCCACAGTGAGAATTGGTACATATTTCAGTTTCACAGAAGTATCATACAGTGATTTTCTTCCACCTCCTTTTATTTTTTGAACGGTTCAACTGAAAAAAAATAATGCCTTTACTTGGCATAATGAAATTGATGCATAAATACCATATTTGGTAGTGAAATTGACAGATAAAAATTTCATGATGGCAACTGGGCGCCATCTGGAAAGAAAAATGGAAAGCGGGTCTTGTGACACATCCCTTTGAAGCTCCTGACAAATACTTCACGACCCTAGAATATAAGTCAATATCTTCACCTACTACAAAATGGCGGAACATTTGATAATGCCTGAATACATCGACGTTTAACTTCAGAATTTGAGGAAATAAGCTTGCCAGTTTAAGAATTCATTCACTATTGCTCCATCATAATGGATAACAAATTATTACATGCATTACCCTGTTTCGGCACTGATTTATAACGATATTGGAATTACCCCATTGAATACCGTTCCATTTATTGGCTCTGCAACTAGTTAACACAACTTCCTGTCATTAAAATCATTATTATGTACGCGGTTTCACTATCTTGGACTATTTTCCACATTCAATTCTATATCAGAGTTATTTGGGGTTAAGCTACCTTGTATAATTCGAATATACGTGGATATACATAGAGTAGTGCTACCAATAAAAAATTCAGGATTATTTCCATTTCCATAGTAACCAATTCATATTGTTACATACAAACGAAGCACATCGAAATTTTGTCGTTCGTTCTGAATTACTCAAAAAAAATCGCATCGAATACAATTCGAACCTCAAAATCTGCAAGGTTATATATTTCAAACTTCCTGAACAATAACAAATCGTGTCAGTTTAACCATAGATCTAAATACACACTTTAGATCTGTGGTATAACGAAATGATCCTCCCGCTTCCCGGTCGGATTATTTCAACTGTTGAACAGGCACTCTTTGTGCTTATATATAGTGTCACTATCGTTATTTTATGATGAGAATATGTATACGTAATTAATGACTCTTTTCATGTTTCCAGTGGGAAAAGATGTACCATACTGGATACTGGACACAGATTATAAGACATACACAGTAGTATGGTCTTGCAGAGAACTATCTATCATTGGAGAAACTTGTGAGTATCTACGTATCTATTACTTAGTATAAAGATATGCGGTTCGAAATAGACAGTAAGTTGAATATAAAGGTTATTTATGATGAATATTCAAAATGATAATATAGGGTCAGCTCAGCTTAATATTGCGTCAATAATGCATAATATAGGCTGATCCAGGAGGACAGTCAGTTAGCCGATTTGAAAGATTGAATTCGTAAATTTTCAAGAAAGAAAAAGCTAGTTCTCAGGTTCGATGTCTAGAAGCACGACTGCTGCTAATACCGAAAATAAACTACAACTTTGTTATTCCAACGAAGAATTCTGAAGTTTCATAAAGGCATCAAAGTGTTGTAAGTTGAATTATGTTGAACTACACAAAGATAAATAGTATAGGTAGTCATATCGAGATGACGCAAAAATGTATTATGTAATTCATGACTCCAAAAATGCATCCTGATCGGAACCACAGCCTTCTTAATAAGTATAGAAGGCTGTGTCGGTACAGAAGGTGTTGGGATATTTTGCAGATATTATATCCATTAAAATATCTCGTATGACCTCTTGATTTTCTTGAAACATGGTGGGGTTAGATTCGGCTTGCTCAGTCAAATGGAAACCCAGTAGAGAACGCAGTTGAAAATGCGAAAAATCATACTACGTCAGTGCTTTTTATTACAAAATGTTTTTCTCCAAGTTCAGTAATTAATTAGAAATTTAATTGTTCAATGTGTCAAATTATTTCCGTATCTCACTATATGGGTCAGACAAAAAGACTTGATGTGAGTTCGGCTTGGTTTGATTTCATTGAAAATAAACTGCACCTAGACTATTTTTTGAACAATCAAGCACTCCAGATTCCAAAACAACGATCACTTGAAATTTTTTAAAGAAAGCCGAATACTTAGACGATATAAGATATAAGTTTTTGACAACTATACTGCAGCCTTGATATCCTCCTCTTGTACTCTTCTCTGAACAAAAATGAACAAAAATGAACAAAAATGAACAAAAATTAACAAAAATGAACAAAAATGAACAAAAATGAACAAAAATGAACAAAAATGAAAGAAAATGAACAAAAATGAACAAAAATGAACAAAAATGAACAAAAATGAACAAAAATGAACAAAAATGAACAAGAAATCAACAAAACAATATACAAATTAATAACAATCAACAAAAATGCACAAAAACTATCAAGTATGAACAAAAATGAACAAAACTCAACGAAAACGAAAACCTATCTGCACAGTTTTCGTCTTCATCAGGTAGGTGTCAGTCTCCATAAGTCCATACATTTCTTGATATTTTGTTTCTACTACTTTCAATCATCTAACTGCCACTCACACTAATCGGCGAATTTAACCTTATTTACCTGCAAACCCCAACCCTACAGTTCGGAAATCTCATTTTTTTCCATGAATAGGAAAAGGATAGTTACAATACCATATGATAGGGCTGCGAGGGTATGGCTTGAGAAGATATATCGGCACGCAAGGAAAAACCACAATTACTTTAATTAGAACCGGTGGTCTTCAATTGTCTCCCGAAATTTCTGGGGTTGATATATCCGAGAACAGAATAACTATATGTTCTATGAACCCCATTGCGGAAATAAATAATATGAGAGGTATATAGCCCTACGAAGAGGAAAACAACATATTAGTTTGATCGCATTATCTTGTAAAGGTACAAGATTTTCTCCGGTAACGATTGTATTTTTCAAACATTTCTGAAAATGTTCATGAGAGCATAATCTCCACACAATTAAAAATATATACAGGCAACTTTATCGCCTTTCAAAAATAACTCAAGCCTCTTACGAATAAATAACCTACAAATCAATTACTTGTGCTCATAACATTCATTCAATGAACAAGCTTTCAAATACGAGTTTGATATTCATCAAAAAGGCGACTCGATTTTAAAAAGCAATAGGAATTTATGTATTCATTTTGGTTCATTACATACTTCGTACAACTGATACTCTTTATCATCTCTCTGTCCCTCCATATTGATTTCCAGAAATAAGTTTGAAGAGAAAGAATAATGTTCGGCTGTATTATCAGCTCTTGAGATATCTGGAGACATTTTTGAACTACCGTGTAAATATTGATTATAATGTATATTTCTACTCATGATTTTTTTTTATTTCAGTAACTGCATGGATTCTTACTCGGGAGAGGAATCCACCAAAAGAAGTAATCGATAAGGCAATTAGCGTTTTTGAAAATCAAAACCTCTCAACAACTTCATTGACCAAGACAGACCAACAGAATTGTCCGCAATTCTGATTTAGCCATTCAAATGACAGCATGTAATATAATTTTCTACTAGGAGGATTATACCTAAGATTCAACTCTCTGCATTTTCAATTAAGAATACTCCTAATCAAGTATGTTCCCAACGTTAACCCCTGGTCGGACTCTACCATATTTATAACCTAAATACGAACTATTTCTGCTGATGTATCAAATAAGATGAATTCTGAATTCTGTTTTTATATTTTTCGAGTAGATTGTTAAAAGTTATAAGAAAACATTCAAAATTATAATTTAGTACTTGAAATTGTATACATTAAATTGAAATTATTCTTATTGTACTTTTCAGTGAAGTTTCTTGAACAGGAAGGAAGGAATGCTCGAAGTCATCTCCAAAAACTTTAATGATGTTGTTACATAATCATAAGAGACATGTTTTGGTCTTATAAAAGACCATCTTTAGCCTAATTAAAGGTCTACGATACAATAACAAAATAATATTTGGGGTGAAATAACAACAAGCATTCAAAGTTGAACCATTGCTGAATTTGCTGAATCCTCGTATCTAACAATGGGGAGTCTTCCACCAACACCTAGCTGTTGATGAAATGATATGATGGGCACAATGCACTAAAACAATTCATAAGAGCAAAACCGATTCGATTCGGTTTCAACCTATGGGCTCTCCGTGGAGATAATGGAAGTTCGAAACCAGAGTATCAGAAAACAATCGTATTATAGAAAACAATTTTGAAAAAGATTTTTTTGAGTCCAATTCTGTTTCTCCTAACCATATCATCAATGACAAACACTCTTTTGATCCCAACTCTAACATAGATATTTTACATATCTGTGACAAGGGAAAAAAACTAAACCTTCTTGGAACTCTGGGAATCAATAAAGCTGTCAAAAACTCTAACCTCAACTGCCTTAATGAACAAACTCAATTCGATCGTCTTAAATTATTCAACTCCTTGTTATTTTAACTACAATATCGTTCTGTGTTCTATGTCACTTCTATTCGAATCAAAACATTCCTGAGTTTTGACTTGACGGGTGTCATTCTAATGTTGTATTTTGTCCTCAACTTCATTGTCATCAATTGTCATTTGTCAATTGTCATTTGTGATTAATTAACCTAATTCAACATTCAACAAATCTAGGTCCACATGTTGGTTCATTTTGATATTTGAATTGTATCACTTTTTCTTCAAAAACTATAAGCTCTTATTGAGCTGTAAATAATGGTTCCCTAACATTTGCTCACCCGCACTATGCGCGGTTAAAAACAAAATTAATTTTTTCATGTTTTTTATTAATCTTTTTCCACCAATAATGGTAGGTACATTTAGATTTCATAATCAATACTTGAAACTAACATGAGCATTGTTTCTCCTAACAGATTTTCTTTTGATACATTTGCTGATGATGAAGGATTAATCCTTCGAAACATGTCCTCACTTATGTCCATGACCGTTGGTCATTATCAAATTGTTCATGTGGTGGAGTTGTGACTGTAAGTTCTTTCACCCCTCCTGATTTATATCACCTCCACTGTAAGTTATGAATCACCTACGTTGGTTATAATGGATATTGTTATAATTTTTCACTCTATTGTGGGAAAGGGCTAGGAGACGAATCCGAGTCTCTATATAGGTAGAAGAGTTACTATTCTGAATATGCTGAGAATTGTGGACAATCCTAAGAGACATCTGGTATATTCAGATGTTTTTTTTCCCAAGCTACAATTTACTTTGTCAGCTGAGAGATCTAGTCGATTTCGTGCTACTGGTACAGTGCGAGAAAATAGAATAGCTAAATGTCTCATGAACCTAGAAAAAGAGTCTCGAGATGAATACGATGGGCGTTTAGATGACACCAACAAAATACTAATTTTTGAAAGGAATGCCACTAATGTGTTTCTGTTGCAACCAATTATGATACTATATTCCCAACCAATCAAGTACAAAGATGTGCTTTTTTCTTCCATTTCCACTACGACTCATTGCAATGTTATGCATACTATCTGAGATGTAACAATATTTTTAAATCGCTTACGGAACTGAAGTACATTATTTCTGTGAAGAGGTGTGGATTTTCATAATCCGAAATTAAATTGTCGAAATTGTGCTTACAAAAAATTTTGAGCAATATTGAATGTGGTACCACCCTGTATTATACACTCCTGAGTAAAATTTTGAAATGAATATCTATACCTATACATTAAATTTCTACAATGTTCACAGTGAGATTTCTTGGTTTCGATAGTGATTTCAAATAAATAAGTTCTTTGCCTTCATTTCCATGAGTGAAAGGTTGGAAATTGTCATCAATGAAGAAATATAAAAATTATAGTTTTATACATTCAAAACAAATATTTCTAGGTCGTAGATTATCTGGAGATTTTTGTTTTCATGGATCCCGGATATCAGTATTAAGATCTTGGATCTCGAAATTGTTATCGACTATAGGAAAATTTCATGTATGTACCTAAACTGATTGGGATCATTTATTCTAGAAAATATATTGCATAACTCATTCACCAACATTATATTCATTTTTTTAGGGAAATGAATAATACTGGCAATGATGAACTAACCAATGAATTACGACCTCATAAATCAGATATTTTTTTAGGTACTTATATTGCTGTTGTTATATCGCACATTTCCTCTCCCAACCTCAAGAATACAGACATCCATTTGTTACATATTCTGATTATAAGTATATTTTCCACACATCGAAGTTCCACACTATTCGAAATTGAAATGAAATAATACTGCTTGTATATGAAATTTTCTTCTTGCAGTATAATATTTGACAATAGTCGGAGAAAATGGAATATCGTAAACATGATGTATAAATGATTTCAATCTTCACATCGAATGAATTGTATTCGGTCATCCAGACATGGATGAACAAGTAACCTATAGTAAGCATGGAGGTTGAATCACAGATATTGTGGAAAATTGGCATGTATTATGATTTTCAATGCGTTTTGAGGAATGTTGCTGTATCTAGTCGACCAGTTCAAAATATAACAGATGAACGCGATGGATAATCAATTATTCAACTGGACCACTGTTCGCCTTCCTGCAGACTCGTTCACTGAAATTTTCATTCTACAAAGCCTACTGAAACCGGCGACACTTGCTCTAAGTGGGAACAAATTGATGTAGAGTGCTCCAATTCGATTACTTGATTATCCATTCCGTATTATATATTGTTCTATATCTGGTCCACTAGCTTGTAAAAATTATATATTATACCAGTGATTTCATTCTCAACCCGATGCATGATTTTTGTAAAAGGTTTCCTGATGAAAGCACTATTATAATTTAGAGTAGCATGTGCAATCACAAGCAAGTTACTTTGTGGAATTAGTCGAATAACTTAATGAGACCAGTATTTCGATCTTCAGGTCTGAAGGAACCCCAATGTGTTCAGGTTACCACTTCTTGTTTCAGTTCTGCTCAATCAAATGCAGATTTCAGATAGGAAATATTGTAGGATTTTCTGTGTGCCCCTATTACAAGATACCTACCTTAATCATAACTTGTTCCTATGATTTGATCAACACAATTTATGAAAAAAACACTAGGATTTTTGCGTTCTTATTTCAACAGGTATATCAGACATATCTACATATGAGTATAGAATGAATTCGTGAAAAATATCTATGAAATTCAAATACCACTTCTAGTCAATGATGTCAATATTGTGTAAGATCTCTGATATCAATGAGATTTCTTTCATTTGATGAACGTGGAAAAAAACGAAACTAAATTTACTTTACTATATTCGATAATTATAGGCATATTTGTTTCCTGAGTGTCCCCACCATGCACTAGAAATCTATGATATAAATAAATATAATAGATATCACACACGATTTGAAACAGTCATTGAATTTTTATAGCCAAAATGGAAGTAATCATAGTTGTATTTGCTTTAGTTTCTTTAGTTGGGACTTACGCCCAAAGTCCAAGTTCATCTTGTCCTGAAGTGTCTGTAGTACAAAATTTCAACGCGACGGGGGTAAGTAGGTACACAGGCTGGCCGTAAGCCATGACCACAAGAATGAATGAAAAACCGAATCCAACACTTGCTATACGTCCCAGGTAGCACATCATATTGGCTGGAACCCGATTTCATATTGGGCCGATATAGATATATCGTACATGTGAAAAATAATATAGGTCGAATATGAGAGTATATTGGACAAACAATATTGGAATGATTATATTGGTGGAATATTGGTTCAACCTGAACTGAATATGGATTGTCAGCTACAATATTGGAGCAATATAGGTTGTAAAACAATGTGTTGAAAAACATATCTATGAATGTTATATAATATTGTTTTACGAATGTCGATACAACAACATCGTATACATATTGTTCCCGACATTTACAACCAATATTGCAATTTGAACATTCTCCCCATGTCGATTCTGAAGCGGTAATGCAATATTGTATATTCAAGTTGAACGGCATATCGGTTGGATATTGTTTTAACAATATTTGAATTATTATATTCAACCATCTTGATTGATATCATTTTATCTATATCATGCGGAAGATATCGTATACAATTTGCTTCTTACCAATATCGTGATTTGAATATTGTCCCCATGTTGATTCTGAAGCGGTTGTGCAATATTGTATATTTGAGTTCGACGGCATATTGGTTGAATATTGTTTCAACAATATTCGAAATATCATATTCACCTATCTTGATTAATATCATTCTATCCATATCATGCGGAAAATATCGTATACATATTGTTTCCAACAATTATAACCAATATCGCAATTTGAACATTCCCCCCATGTCAATTCTGAAGCGGTTATGAAATATTGTATGTTCGAGTTCGACGGCATATTGGTAGAATATTGTTTCAACAATATTTGGAACATAGAATTTACCAATATTGACTGATATCATTCCAACTATATCGTGCGGAAGATATCGCACACATATTGTTTTCAACAACTATAACCAATATCGCAATTCAAACATTCTTCCCATGTCGATTCTGAAGCGGATATACAATATTGTGTAATCGGATTCGACGGCAAATTGGATGAATATTGTTTCAATTGATATCATGCGGAAAATATCTTATACATATTGTTTCCAACAATCATAACCAATATCGCAATTTGAACATTCTCCCCATGTCGATTTTGAAGGGGTTTTCAATGATTCAAATATGAATATCAATAACAGCAATTCGATATATATCTTATATCGCACATAGAAGAGAAAAACAATATTGTAATTTCAAGTTCAATTGCATATCGGGTGAATAGTTTTCTAGCAATATTCAGAAAATAATATCATCTTATATTGGCTGATATGTGATTCAATATATCATGTGAGCAATATTGTTCACATACTGTTTTGAGAATAAATATTGATATCGAAATTTCGATATTCATTCCATATTACGCACTCCCAAATCGATGTCGATAGATATAATAATAATAATATAATAATAATATGTTTATTCAGAAATAATCATAACAATAATAAACATAACAACAATAATAATAACAGTGTAGCAATAGTAGAATAATAAATGAATAAGAGTAAAATGAGTAATTAATGAGGTGATGATGAGTAAATCATATGAATAAACATAGGGACACCGCAAAGTCCAGAGACTGATCGCGGCGTGGATAGTATAACTATACTTATAGTATAGATATTTATATCAAACACAATTACAAAAATGTCATATTATTAGTAGGTAGGCAGTGCAAGTATTCACTATATACATTTATAAAACGTAAATAAACAGAAATGCCCATTGAAGACCAGTAGGTTGCGCATGAGCATGAGTATCTGCATATTTATCATTCTAAAGAAGAATATATATAAAGCTATATGACATAGATCATACTGGTTCTGTTGAATATTGATTATCTAACATGATATGATGAATGGTTTAATGATGATGAGTATAAGAGAGTGTTGGGATGAAAATATTCTTTCTATTGTTCGATAAGATCATGTATAATTTTTCTCTCTATCGAATGCAAGAAATGTTTAAAAATTTTCTTGAAGAAATTGAAAGATGGCGCTATAAATGATTGGTAACGTACTCCCATTGCCGATCAGAAGAGAGAATATAAATATCAGCTCTAGACGATTGTAAAGTATTATAACCTGGAGTAGGGGTTAACCGTGATCAACAAGGAGGCTTTCCCAATGCAAGGCCCATCCATTGCACTCCGGCTGGGCTGACCTTTGTGATTATTCCTGATGCAAATAATTCGCAAATATTGGTAAGAAAATATTCCACCAATATTTTGGAGACAACATAGCTACATAATGATTTTCAATAATGTACCAATATTCCCAACCAATATTGCACCAGTATTGTAAAATGTTCACTGTCCATTTATCAGCAATATTGATATCACATTTTGTGACCAATATAACTTCACGAATATTCCAGCAATATTGGTATGAGAATATTCTACCAATATTTCTGAGACAACATAACTTCATGATGATTTTCAATGATTCACCGATATTTCCATATATTACACCAATATTGCCGAATGTTCACCATTAATTTCTCGCCAATATTGATATTAAATTTTGTGTCCGATATAACTCTACGAATATTCAACCAATATTAATATGAGAATATTCTACCCACATTTGGAAACTGATATTGTACCAATATCGCCGAATGTTCACATTTTTTCTTTCGCCAATATTACTTTCACAATATTTTGCCGATATTTTCGTAATATTGCACCGATATTGTCCCAATATATGTGTGCTACTTGGGGTGTTGCTACGCAGACTCCTTTTGACATCGAGGTTTTTTATTTCGATGTGTTACTTTTTTCACCACACCTCACCGGTCCTCTGCAGTGGGTTTCTGTTCTGAATATATATTTTTAGCAGCTTTTGCTAAATGAATTTGTGAAAAACAGAGATTGAACTATGTACTATATCGACTTCTTGTTTACACATAAATCGTTAAGTCATATTTTATTCATCCAAATAATACATATTACGTGAGCAAATTTCATTGAACTTCGAGTTTCTTGAGAGAAAATATATTTCTACCAACTTGAGTAGACTGAATTTGTTAAAAATATGAAATTGAAATACTATCGACTTTTTTTTTTCATTTTGTGAACTAAAGCAAGTTAATTGTGTTTTATTCAACATAACAATATTATATGGATATATGAACTGAATATATCAAAACTATACATACTGTTGTCGAGTTCCAAAACAAAATATATTTGCACCAACTTTAGTGGAATGAAGTGAGCTGCCTCAGTGCCTTATTATAATATTATTCGTGACTAAAGTCGGTATTATATAGTTTATTTAGCGTACTTTTATACTATAGTATTATTTCAAATTCCGGTGTGAAATTTTTTCACCGAATGCCACTCTAGCTTCAATTATAAACCGAAAATTCTTTCTCGAACATCACGAATAGGTAGAAATATCTCCCTCGTCTTCTAATTGAATCTCTCCTGGTATTATAAGTGACAATACTCACATGTAGGGATGCACCATTTTTGCTGAATATACGAAGAGGTCTATATTTAAAAAGAAATCGGTTTGAATATAATAATATCTATCTGAGAGAGGTATAATCATTATTTATGAATAATATGGTGACTACGTGTTTCCTTGTACAGCCCAGATTTGAAACACTTATTGTTTCTGCGAAAGCTCTTCGCAAAAGTATACAGGGTCTCTATAAATAATCATAGCATCGTAGGGATTGTTGCAATATTTTATTGAGTTACCACTCTCCTCTCATGGACACATATACGTATTAATAATCAATACGGATAATCTCCATCTGTTTCCATAACGAAACATGAAGCCGATTTCTGAAGACAAATGACTATCCATAAGGAAAAGTGAGATACGATCAGACACATACTGCTTTGATTGAAAGGCTAGTAAACGTCATTGTCCACCGAAACGCATGTCTTTGATGACTACGTATCATGCCACCAAATCCTTATGGATATTCATTTGTTTCATATTTTTGGCTTCATCCTGGCACCCGTTATGATCCGTATTGTTTATTAATACGTATATGCATGGACATCGAACTATAGCACTTTCGGTCGCCTCGCTTCTCTGAACAATGTATGATCGAAGCCTCGCTCCAATGCCTGATGTAAACAATATTTCAACGGCCACTATGATGCCATAATTATGATCATTTATAGAAAGCCTGTACCAGAGATTATACAGAGATCTCTGCCTGTACCAAAGTTTGAAGGGAGACTAATAGATGCGAACTCTCCGTGTCCTCAATGTAGAAGTTACAAAATTGATTTTCGAAATGTAATAGCTATACCATACCAACAATAACGATGCTTGGAGTTCTAAATTGGCTAAGTTTTATTTCTCAATGATACTTATTTCCAAACCAATTTCTGGGGATGCTTCCTTATACTTGGTAAATTCACCATATTCCAGCATCAAATTCATAATTATCCTACCAGAGGTATATGTACCACGTCTTGATTACACTACTTCAATGAACTCTTTATTCCATAAAGGACTATCAGAGTACAATGACCTCCCAGATGAAACAGAACGAAGGGAATATCCCTTGTTAGAAATTTGAAGATGAAATATCAATAAATTACACAGTATCTTTTAATAGTTGATAGTCTGGACAATAGTTAACCATACTAATAATTTCGTCTTCATATACAATCTTCTCCATTTCACTGTTTTTTGTTTTGATTCTCTAATAATCGATATGAACTTCATCTGTGTGATATACATACTTATATTTAACACTGCATGCTTTATAAAAACTCTGATGAATGTAATTGGATGCACTATTCGAATAACTGGAACAAACACACCGGAAGCTGTCCTCTTTGTTGTGAGGTCCCTATTATTTTTATTCTGCGTGATAATACTAAATTTTTTTCGTGTTAACCGATGAAATCACATTGAATACCTCATAATAAATATCTTGACTATTATGAAAATAACAAGAGAAAATATCAAAAATATCATCAACATTATACGGGGACCCGTTGAGCTAGATAGTTGGTTTTTCTATTTAATTAATAATCACAAAGAAGGTAATGAATAATTGAAGATTCATTTGGTGTCGGATATTACTTTTCTGGCAATGTCTTTCGAATATAATAACGTTCTATAGTAGCTATATGAAAAGTGTTCACCAAGTACACAATCCTGCCAAGTACTTATCATTTCTCCAAACCTTTTGTGGCCTTCAATAATATAATAGTCTAATGACTATCAATAAGAATGTTATCACTGACAGAAAATATCAGATACTTCAGCACCAAAACATACGCTGATGCTCTTAGATTCCATCCAGAGAAGAGCCATTCGCCTGGTGGGTGACGCCACACTCACTCACTCTTTGACATCATTGGAACACCGTAGGAAGGTCGGCGACCTTTCACTTTTCTATCGATACTTCCACGGGAAATGTTCTTCGAAAATCTACGCTATCATCCCTTCACTAGCAATACCAGTCAGACGAACTAGACAAGCCCAGTCAACACATCCTTTCGTTATCAACCTCAAAAGAGGTCGAACAGCACTTTTTCAAAACTCCTTCATCCATAGAACGGCTAGGCTCTGGAATTCATTGAGGAAGTATTCCCAACAACATATAATCTTCAGAAGTTCAAAAAAAATTCCAATACCTTCCTCCTGTTCCTATCCTCCCTAGGAACGCACGATGTTCTTTGAACAATATGAGGATTTCCTTTCGTGCGCTCCAAGCGATAAAAAAAATCTTCCTCATGATTATTTGTTTCAGTATCTTGGTAAATGGTATGAGCAGATGAAATATCCATTCATCTTCGAACTAGACGCCAAGTGTATTTCCGCAGAATATTCGTTGAATCCCAATGGTACTGTGAGAGTACTGAACCAACAGATCAACATTGGGTGAGCTTTTATACAGGGTGATTCATTGGGAAATACGCATACAGTAAAGGTAGATGGAGGACACTGAGGTACTTCTAAATAATCTATATTTCATGAGTCTATCATTCTTTATAACCAAGATACAGGGTGATCTATTGATTTCCCTCATTTTTTCATTTCATCATAACTTATGGATCGCCCTATAAATTTTTTGATATTTGGTTTGTATGTTCTATGTCCACAGTGGTGACGATTGACATAATAAAATAAAGTCTAATTATTCCAGTATACTGTGTAGGTACTGCCATATGAGTGTCTCAATTCTCAGCAACTCAGTAGGACTTTTTTCACGCCAGAAGAAAATTTGTGTAACGACACAATGTCCACTAAGAAGAGTACAGAGAAACTGAAATGTATACGTCCTGGATTCAACTTTTTATAATTTGTTCATTAGATAGATGTTTTGGAAAAACCAAATACTTATATTATAGGCACAAAATTGATCCAAAAACTATCGAAAAAGGGATAACATTTGTTCGAAACAATTCGACACCAGAAAAAGAAGCACTTTGTAATTTTCGCGAATCGTTATTTAAACCTTTTTCTACTCATCCCACTTGTTCGAAACTTTTCTGCACAGGATGTTGTTTGTCTTTATTTATCATGAAAGTATTCAAGAATAGATATACACTGAGTGCATAATTTCAGTCCAGTGGAAAACGGTACATAATTCTGAGGTTTTACTGTACTCTGGAATGACGAGTGTACATGCCAATACGCGCCTGGGTTTGGGAACTTTCCTCCAATATTTCGATTTATCGAAGACCGGAACCTTTGGCACTATACAGGGTGATCCACGGTGGATGGCCTATTAGAAGTATCTGGAGAACGAAAAGACAACACATTCTGAAAATTGAGATGCTCTGATAATTGAACATTCTCTATCTCTCTATTTCAAATGGAACACCCTGTATTTTTTTTGTTTCTAGATTCTTCTTGAAGAGCTGATTTCATCAATGCATCACACTTGTGATCTAGCAGGAATTATTACAGAGATATAGGGTGTTCAAAATCGAGATTTTTCAATTTCAGGAATTTTTTGTGTCGAAACTATTCATTATCGATCAAAACGGCTTGCATGTCCCTATCTCAACTTCTGATTCACTATCTACTGACATTTGATTGGAACAAATACAGGGTGATCAGAATTCTGAATCTTGGACCACCCTGTATTTTTTCCAATTAAATTCCAGTAGATAGTGAATCAAAAGTTAAGATAGGGTCATGTGTGCCGTTTTGATCGATAATCAATAGTTTCGACACAAAAAAATCCTAAAATTGAAAAATTTAGATTTTGAACACCCTATATATCTCTGTAATCATTCCTGCTAGACCCCAAGTGTGATACATTGATGAAATCAGCTCTTCAGGAGGAATCTAAAAATGCAATTAAATACAGGGTATTCTATTTGAAATATCAAAGTTGCTAGTTGTTTCTGATAGAAGTGGCAACATTGTATCGATGAAAATATTTTAGGCGGATAGAGAATGTTCAATTATCGAGTAATCTCAATTTTCACAATGTTCTGTCTCTTCGTTCTCCAGGTACTTCTAATAGGCCATCCACCGTGGATCACCCTGTATAATCCACTACACTATTTCACCGCACTTACCAAACCGATTTTTCACACGCCTCGATCAGTGTTTCAACCAAGTCAGCATCTTCAGGAGAGGATTGAAACTACTAACATAGATAGGGTGTCGAAGCATTGAAAAAAAAACGGTTTGGTTAGAGAGAGGTAAAACAGTAAAGTAGGATAGTTTTATTAAAAAAGATATTTATCAGGAGGGGTGAAAGAACTTACAGTCACAACTCCACCACATGAAGAATTTTAATAATGACCAACGGTCAAGGACATAAGTAAGGACATGTTTCGAAGGATTAATCCTTCATCATCAGCAAATGTGTCAAAAGAAAATCTGTAAGAAGAAAACAATGCTTATGTTAGTTATAAGTATTGATTAAGGAATCCAAATGTACCTACAGTTATTGGTGGAAGAAGTTTACTTAATACAAAACATGAAAAAAATTAATTTTGTTTTTAATCGCGCATAGTGCGGGTGAGCAAATGTTAGGGAACCATTATTCAAAGCTCAATAATAAGAGCTTAGTTTTTTAAGATGAAGTGAAACAATTCAATTATCAAAATGAACCAACATGTGGACCTGGATTTGTTGAATTAGGTTAACTAATCACAAATGACAATCGACAAATGACAATTGATGACAATAACGCAGACGACAAAACACAACATTAGAATGACACCCGTCAAGTTAAAACTAAGGAATGTTTTGTTTCGAAGTGACATAGAACTCAGAAAAAAAATTGTAGTTAAAATAACAAGGAGTTGAATAATTCAAGAGTATCGAATTGAGTCTTAAAGTATTCAACTCCTTGTTATTTTAACAAAAAATTTTGTTCTGTGTTCTGTGCCACTTCGAATGAAAACATTCCTTAGTTTTGACTTGACGGGTGTCATTCTAATGTTGTGTTTTGTCCTCAGCGTCATTGTCATCAATCGTCATTTGTCGATTGTCATTGTTGGGGATTACCTTTAGGGAAAGAACTGTTAATCCGGCTCGAAGGACCACAATTGTTGGGGATTACCTTTAGGGAAAGAACTGTTTTTCTGGCTCGAATGACCAAATTTACGATGCACTTTTTTCTTGAACTATTTATTATTATCACTCTTCTATTATTTTTTCCTATAGCAATAGGAATGACACAAGAATTAGACATTGACATGACATGATGACTCAACAATAAAAATTATGTACAAAGTGTTTTCCATTTCAAATATTTTAGAATTTTTAGTCATTTGTGATTAGTTAACCTAATTCAACAAATCCAGTTCCACATTCTGGTTCATTTTGATAATTAAATTGTTTCACTTTATCTCGAAAAACTGAGCTCTTATTATTGAGCTTGAAATAATGGTTCCTTAACATTTGCTCACCCGCACTATGCGCGATTGAAAACAAAATTAATTTTTTTCATGTTTTGTCTTGAGTAAACTTCTTCCACCAATAATGGTAGGTACATTTAGATTCTTCAATCAATACTTATAACTAACATAAGCATTGTTTCTTCTTACAGATTTTCTTTTGACACATTTGCTGATGATGGAGGATTAATCCTGCGAAACATGTCCTTACTTATGTCCATGAGCGTTGGTCATTATTACAATTTTTTATGTGGTGAAGTTGTGACTGTAAGTTCTTTCACCCCTCCTGATTTATATCACCTCCACTGTAAGTTATGGATCACCTATGTTGGAAGATATTTATTTTCAATTTGTATTTTCAGAACTGGCCATCCAAATTCGATTGAAGGAACTGCGCGTTTGGATTCCACTACTGGTGAAGCAAAGTTGTTGGTTAATTTTCCAACAGCACCAAGTGAGTACATAACTATACCGTGTTCATGCCAAGATGATGTCTACTTCCGATGTAACCAGAAAGTGACTCATGATTGAAAATCTTTTCATTCTTTCTGGCTAATACCGAGGAATATTGAATTATATCTGGCAAATATTGGGATCAACTAATTGAAAAAAGAGATATTTTATTTCTTTTTTTTTTCAATATTTTTGTATTGTCGAAGATATCAACCTTATTCACAAAGCATGTTTCAGTAAATAATATAATAGTAATTTGGCAAATGTAAATGAATATAAATAAAATGAAGGATTATTCAAAAAAATTAATAAAAAATAGTATCAAAATGAAATTTTGGAGTGTCGTGTTCATCTTATATAGATAATACAAATGAAATCACATTATTCACATCTATCGTTAAAATCATAAACAGATTAAAATATATATCAAAATATAACACAATCATACAAAAATGGAAATTACAATATAAGACAAAATATTCCATTGTCACATTCACATAAAATGAAATAAAATCGAGTGAAATGATTATACCATACAATATACTTGTACGACAAAGTTAAATGATTAGAGTTCGGCATTGTAGTACTCCTGCAGGTTATAGTAGGCCTTCTGTAAAAGTATGTCTTTCACTCTTTTTTGAACTTCTTTGGGAAAGGTATATTCAGATAAGCTATTGGAAGATGGTTATAAATTTTCTTGCTTTCGTACATGACAGAGTTTCTAGTTAGACTAGATTTAGGTATAGGTAAAGGAATACAACCTTTGTTTCTTGTCTCATATTTTCTGACTTCAGTTGTAGATAATATTGAAGTAGTATTCTTCTTGTGCATTAGGCATACAGTTTCCAGTATGAATAAACAAGATGAGGTCAAAATCTTCTGATTAATGAATAATGGTTTGCAGTGATCACGGAACTGAGCTATGCTCAGGTAGCGAATTGCTCTTTTTTGTAATACAAACACTGAGTCAAACAAATGATCACTGCACAATCCCCAAAATGCAATGCCATACCTCAAGTGGGACTCAATTAAGGAGAAATACACCAACCTAGCTGAAGCTGAATTCAGTTCCTTTGAAACAACTTTAACTGCGAAACAACTAGAGGATATCTTCTTATTCAAGCTAGTGATATGTTCTTCAAATTTTAATGTATTGTCTATATGCATACCTAGAAACTTAATATTAGGTTTATTCGTAATTATGTGGTTTTCTAACAGTAAATTATCGAAGTTGAACTTAAAGGAGATTAAATTTCTTTATACATAACAGAATATTTAATTCAATATTCTCTGAAATTAGCCAGGAAAGTATTTATTTCAACTATAATTAAACGGGACCTTTTTGTCGAAGGAGACTTGACATTTCAATTAGAATCATGAATGTTAAGTTAACTTCTAACAAAAAATGGTCGAGTGTAAATCGGTGAGACACGTTATGTTCATTATTTTGTCAAATTTTTCAAGTCAAAAACTCTTTAAATTGCGATATTTTCACAGATCAGACACCCACTTCTCTGACAACGTAAGTTCAAGAAAAATTGACATAACCATCATCAAAGATCTGGTAACAATTTTGGTTTTCATGCTCTCAAATGATGTGAGGTTCGTTTTCTCGCTGTAAAAGTTAGGACACAATTTTTTCGCCCTCATAATGACAAAATCAGATTTTTTGGGAGTTTCGTATACATGAATCAAATTGTCACTTGGAACTACATGAAAACTTTCATTTTCGCAGTAATTTTAACATATCAATTAGAATTTTATTGCCTGGAAATTTTTCATAACGGCTGATAACCTATATAACCGGCGAAAAATGGTTTTGATTTGTTATTCATGACAGAAATAAATTTTCATTCCAATTCAATGGTATAAAAAACAAATATGGCGCCCATGAGAAAAACAAAAGAAGATGAAAAGCTTATTTGTTCCCAAATATAAAATTTCACTGCACGTGACAGATCTTGAGAGCAAACATACCATCCATCCTGAATATTTGCAGCTCAGATTCCTGCTGAAATTGCGACACCAAAGGGTAGTGTGAAGTCAGCGATCTGTCAAAATAAAGTGAACAAATTGTTTGTTGGTAATTGGTTCGATTGATCATGGAAGCCCTTCTAAACAAATCAGTTGCTGTTCCACGAACGAATTATCTTATTTTTTATTCCTTCTAGTCCAAACATAACCTGAAAAAAATGAATTTTGAATTGCAGAATCGTGACAGCTTAGTGTTGTAGAATTTGTTTCGGATTTTAGCACAAGTAATTTCACTGTGAATACTGAACTATTTCGGAACAATCACAGCCGTCTTCGAAGACGGCTGTGGAACAATATAAAATTTCAACAGTGTCAGTGGTACTACTGACACTGCCGATAGTAGGAATCGAAACATAGCCTTAATTTTGCGTCACCGATTTCCATTCAGAGACAGTAGAGAGAGACACGACGATGTTGTAATCAGAGATGAGGAATTGTTTTTATGCAAACTTACAGTCGATTTTTTTTCTACTTTTACAGTTCACTTCGATTCACCATACTGGGTAGTAGCAACTGATTATGTTAGTTATTCAGTAGTATGGTCTTGCGCTGAAGTTCCCCTAATTGGAAAATCAAGTGAGTATTTTATTAACATTCGAATATATTCACACTATATATGACAATTGATGATTTGGTAGGTATTTATTGTATAAATAAGTGTTTTAGATAAACAAGTACCTAGATGAATATTTATGACTTTCAAATTTCTAACTACGAAGTAACCACAATGCTCACAGTAGAATGAAATGTTGAATAAATACAAAGAGCTCAAAATCATTTTCACACAATGTTCATGAAATGAACAACAGTGGTAGATTTCGAAAGAAAAACAACTACTTCAATTATATTCCATTTCAGCACATGCTTGGATCCTCACTCGTGAAAGGAACCCTTCGAGAGATCTCATCGATAAAGCCTTGAGTGTTTTCGAAAAACAGCACCTGTCTACAACTTCTTTGCTGACAACAGATCAACAAGATTGCCCGAAACAGTAATGATTCTATTAAATGATTCACGGGGTCTGATATCTCCGCTATCATTATTTCGAATAAAATTCACACAAAATATGGTTATGGTTATTTTCTTACATAGCAGACCCACTGACCCAACTACTATCTAGACAAATATTATATCTCTCATCCAAATTGATCGCATGAAAACACTCCTGGTCAATGCGCAGGTACTCCTAAACTGTCGTTCATGACATCGACTCATGTCTCTTGGTGTTCGGAAACATATCAGTAAGGATGATTGAGATATCCCAGCAAACATTGGACTACTGGGAGAAGTCCGGCCTAATGCAGGCAAGTCTGGGAAAGTGACGAAGCCGGGGTATTGGTAATGGACCGATAATTTCCCAATGCTAGATAACCATCAGTTATAAATACGAAGATTATTTGGATACAAGTTTCAAAATCAGGCGCCTGTATATTCATAGACAGACATTCGACACATAACTAGGCAAATAGTAGGGCAGTCCAAGCGGCTATTTTTCCTAGTATATATACGGAAATGTCCGCAAGCAATCTATACATTGAGATGAGTGATAATTTTTGTCGGTTACTCGACCAAAAAGATACATATAATAATGAAGATGATGGAAAGCCCTAATTCAAAGTGACAACGAAAAATGAAAAAACTCCACCGCCCCGCGTGAAATTCGAATTCACAACCTCTGGGTTACATGCCCAACGCTCTGCCAATTGAGCTAACGGGACATCTGACGGATAAACCGCGGTGGAATTCTGGTGTACAAACAACTGGAATTCCTTGGAATTCCGTGGATTTCATTGGAATTCCTTGGAATTCCTTGGATTCCCTTGGTATTCTTTGGATTTCCTTGTAATTCCTTGGCTTTCCTTGGAATTCCTTAGATTTCCTTGGAATTCTCTGGAATTCCTTGAGTGAAATGCGGTATATTCCTGGGCTACAAACAACTGGAATTTCTTGGATTCCCTTGGAATTCCTTGGATTTCCTTTGAGTTCCGTGGATTTCCTTGGAATTCCTTGGAATTCCTCAGATTTCCTTGGAATTCCTTGAAATTCCTTGGAATTCCTTGAAATTCCTTGGAATTCCTTGGATTTCCTTGAAACTTCCTGGAATTCCTTGAAGCTCCTTGGAATCTCTTGTGTAAAAAGCGGTATAATTCTGGTGGAGCAGCATAAAGTGTATTGATTTTAAATAGATCACCCTATATATATTTCCACGCAAATGGAAAGACCTTCCGGAGAGCTTCTCCAAAAATACAGCACCCAAAATATTCATCTTCTGTATTTTTCAAAATATAGGCTTTCAAAGCTTCTCGGAAGTTGACCTTGTCAGTTCTTTTAACTCTTGGTGCGCACGAGAGGAAATTCCAATAATGTTCGTGGAATATCGTGCGTACCTAGAGAGGTTAGGGAGAGGAGGTACAATATTGAGTTTCAGTGACCACTGCCAAAAAAAATGTAATGTCATAGGTAGCAATATAGCGAATTTACCTGGATTTGCAATAATTGTCATGACATTTTTGCGAAAATCGTTCAAAAATCGTTCAATCTCTGATAGCTTTGATTGCTCATAAATTGAGAAACACAGACGATTAGGGTGTTAGTGAATAAGTGCGACAAACTTCAGGGGGTCATTCCTTGTGATATTTTAAAAAATACAGTTTATATAAACATGTGTCCTAACTTGCTACGTTCTCGAGGTACAGAAATTCATCAGAGCAGACATGTTTCAGTTCTAACGACTAAGAACATTTTGAGACCGACTGAAACGGTAATAGAAAATCAGTAAAGTATTCAAATACTTATGAGTATTAAAATACTCCTAAAATAACTAAATATTTAGATTCTGACGTACCGCCATCACGGCTATATCATCTTCCTTAATGGGACATCCAGTGGATTTTAGCTTTTCAGAATCTGAGCTGATTTCAGATAGGGTCCCTTGATGGAAATTGACGTTAAAGTCATCTTAACAGGGTACGGACAGATCAATGGGCGCTACAGAAAATCATTAAAAATTTCAATAATAGGTATGTACAGGGTATTTAATTGTTGAGGAAGATCATTATGGGGATCGAGTTTTGTAATTATGATCCGATTCTATTCAAAATTGGTGTCTGGGGGTTTTCGGGGTAGGCGATAATGATTGTTTCGTGAAAATTGTAAAATTCAGGATGACGGATTGAATATGGCGAAAGACATTTCTAATTATGATCTGATTCTATCAAAGTTTGGTATCTGGGGGTTTTCGGATTCGGACTTTTTTTTTGATTTTTTGTCAAAATTCGGATATTCGAGATGGCGGAAAAATAATTTGTATAACATGGGGGTAAAGTATATTCTATTCTTCATTTTCCTGCAATTTCACGTATTCCTTTTTATGAGCCTACTTTTCGCCTTAGAATTAGTCACTCCATACATTTTTCTCCGAGTTGGATTTTCGAAAATATATTTAGCACACATGACGACATGAGTACAGTAGTTCAGATACCTACATCGAGGTTTCCACCATTTCTCAATCATAAGTCTCAGCTCATTCAGCTCATAGTTAAACTACTGCTATCAGCTTGAAATCAGAATTCATTCAGTCAATTCAGTCAACCCTGGTATACAGTCTAAGAACAGTCTCTTTTGGTGAAATATATTAAGCTTTTAGTACAAATTATATGTTCCCTACCTCGCTAAGATTATGCTGGAGTAGTAAACTCTAAAACTATAGGATTTTTCAAATATATCTTGGTATAGTCTGGTATAGTTGAATCAGAATTTCCATATGGGAATCACGTATGATACGCCAATGACCTCAATATAACCTAAAAAACAACAAATGTCAAAAATCTAGTATCCCCAGAATTGAATAAGGATGGAACTATATAACTCACACACACTTTAGAGTGAGAGGAGACGAATTTCCATCAAGGGACCCTAATTTCAGAGACCTCCACTTCCAACATCCAATATAGTGAATGGTTAATTTATTTCACCAATCAGACAATGATAAATCATACATTTTCAGAAATGAGAATAGAAAACTCGTCTCTTTGAATGGCGACATGGTCAGAACACAAGAAGAAGTCTCTTGTGAAGCAGGAGATTGTAGAGGAATCAAGTGAAAATGAATGATAATTCTGTTTAACAATATACATATAGTTAAGTGAGTAAGTCACTAATCAGCCACCATTCTATTGATGTCGAGTTTTGACAAATTGACGCCATCCCAGTACAGTACAAGAAATATTTATGTTTTCATACTTTTTCTATGGAAACTGACTCAATTACTCAAATTTACATTACACAAGGTGATTGAAATCGTCAAAAATACTCAAGTTACATGAATGTGTTCAAATCCTTGAGAATATTTGAATACTTTGGATGTATTCAACTTAGGAAGCATTTAAATACTCTGGAAGTATTCAAGTACTCTGGAAATACTCAAAATACTTCGGAAATATCCAAATACTTTCAGCATATACAAAACTCGAATACTCTGAAAGTATTTAAATACTTTGGAAATTCCCAAATTTTCTGAAAGTTTTCAAATAGTTACTGTGAACTATTCAAATACTTTTTTATTTGTTATTCAAATACTTTTCGGCCTTTGGACATATTTTATATTCAAATATACCGGGTGTCCCAGTATACCTGTTCCAATGGATTATCTCAGTTATTTCGAAAGTAACAAATTTGAAAATTCCATGATCTCCAATTCGTTCAAGGAACCATCAACTGAGAAAAACGAAATTTGAGAGTCACTTCCGGTTTGACCGGAAGTGACTCTAACTTCTTTATTTCAAATAGCACCCTGTATATTTTTTGCAATTTTTGCTTTCTACTCAGAATTGCCTTCCCAACGATGTATAACACTTTGTATTTTACATTTGATATGATGAAGAAAACGACAAATTGAAATTTCGAATTAAAATCAGTATCATATCCAATGTCTCTTGAATTGTGAAGTTATCATATCATTTTCACAGTTATTCATTCTTGAATGTCGCACACAACCATTGAGAATTATAACTGTCGAAGATACAAACAAATGTATTCAAATGTTTCCATGGCACACTAAGGTTTTCATCGAGGTTTTCATTTAAGAATGATTAATTCTTCCAGTTCTACTACATATTTCTATAATAATTTGAAATTTGTCGTTCTCTTCATCATCTCGAATGCAAAATTGTTCATGAATGATTAATTATTGAGGAACAAATCATTATGTACACAAAATATCGTAGTCTACTGCAATTCTTTCGATTTCAAATTTCAATTTTTGTTTTCTCTATCAAATCAATTGTAAAATGCAAAGTGTGATATATCGTTGGAAAAGTAATTTTGAGTAGAAAGCAAAAATTGCAAAAAATATACAGGGTGCCATTTGAAATTAAGAAGTTAGAGTCACTTCCGGCCAAACCGGAAGTGACTTTCTATTTTCGTTTTTCTCAGTTGAAGGTTCCTTCAACGAATTGGAGATCATAAAATTTTCAAATTTGTTACTTTCGAAATGATTGAGATAATCCATTGGAACAGGTATACTGGGACACCCGGTATATGCCGACGCACCCTCTCATACTTCCCAAAGCTGGCATCATACCATCGCCCATAATCATGCAAAGCAAAAGCATCAGAGCTAGCTTCACTCCATTGATTTGTTCTGCTGAAGGTGTATTACACCAGGAATATGCCGTTTTCCAGAAATATTTAGCAGATACATCATCACGAAAATGGAAGAAGCCGTTTCCTCAAACAATAGGGTGGATTCGCAAGGGCAAATGTCCCTAATCAGAGTCGTGTCCCTGCGATTGAGAGGTAATAGACGGCATATAAGATATCTACCATATGAGGACGGGGCAGCTGCAGCTTTTCCTATTCCATTCTATATTCAAAATTGTTGTTGTTTGAGTTTTTAGTAACTCTTACTAATATTTTTACATACTTACTATTTTATTGATATCTATGTTAAAATATCCTTACTATCTGAATATTTTCAATTTCCGAAAATTTTTGATACTTAATATTTGAATACTTTTCTCAGAGTATTTGCCCAGCTCTGTAGGTCCATAAATAATATACTTTGGT